TGATGGACCAGCTAAAAGGCTTACTTAAGTCTTACGAGGCATGGGTGGCCAAAAATCCAGATGTGGTGGGTGACTTTGAGACAACGGCCAAATGGGTCTCTTACTTTGTGGCAGGTAAAGTTTTCACATTGATAAGAAAACAATCTTTTTGTGTGGATTGGTGATGCAATTTTCGATTTTATTAGGTCGCATATCGAACTCCAACGTCCTCTCCGAATTAGTATACACCTTATCCAATATGCTGGTGTTCTACAACGATCGCATTATCGAAAAGGCACGTGGCGCCAACGAGAACGCCGTACTCCGGCTGCAGTCCGGCCTCTGCTACCGTCTAAAGGTCACACTGACGACGCTCGAATATTGTGAAGTGTTCATCGAGATATCAGCGCGCCGTCTGTTTGGCCAAACGGGCAAATGGCTGGTGATAGCGCTCATACAAGTGTGCAAGGCAGCTGGCCGGTTATTTTTACTGAAACATTCTACATCTGACATAATCACGTCACCGCCCATCGCAGCTGTAAATCGACGTGCGCTGAGCAAACAGCGCAAAGCCGACGCTGCAGCAGCCGACAGTGTGCCCCAATCGGAGCATTCCATAACGTTTAAGCTGAAACGCTCAGGCCGCCTCATACGCAAGGTGGAGGGTGCACCGCCCATTCAATACCGAGACTTCAAACTGCATGTGGACAATGCGGATGCAGCCAAGACACAAATACCACGCGAACTGCTGCAAGCGGAGTATTTGTACATAGCCAAGCCGCTTGTCCATTTGGCGGCTTTAGGCTTGTTTGGGCAGCGCAGCTGGAAGCAATATATAATAGCGCTTTCCATGGATTTATATAGCGTACATCTGTATCGCCAGCACCGCCACTTGATGTCCAAGCAACAGAAATTAGAGCTAAGCCGACGCTGTATCAATCTTCTGTACTTCCTCGTACGCAGTCCATTTTACGATAAGTACAGTAAGACGCGAATCGAACGAATTTTGGGCTTTGTGGCACAGCATGTGCCCATTGCCAAAGTGGTTGCCGGACCTCTGAAGGAATACGTGCCACAATGGCAGAACACCTACTTCTACCTGTGGTCCACTTGAGGCTCTGTATGCAACAAGTATTCCATATTAGGCTAAGGACACAAAGTTATTAATGGGTAGATCAGCAATTGGTGAAAGATATGGAGGAACTTTCCTTAATCAATGGATCGATTCTGGTTTACATGGTGATTATTTATAGTGCGTTGTGTGATTGTATGGCTTTTAAATTATATTTGGAACAATATTTGTACACATACATTAAAACGATATCTTTTGTTTCCTCATTTTTCATCTTACACGCTAAACTATACATAACAATTATTCAAATTGGCTACGAATCTGTTGTACACACCACACACAAATCGGTCTCAGAACTTCAGACTGAAGCCGGGACCCATTGCCAGCTGCCGTTGCGTCAGACCCGCGTTCAATACAAATCCTGTACTGGCCGCCGTTGCACCGCTCTTCTTGTTGCCAGTGATAATCCCGGAGGCGAGTTTAGTACCAGCTCCGCCCGCAGCTGTGGCCGTTGGCATGGGCTCATCACGGCCCAGCTGCTTGAATTGCGAGCCACCGGATGGTGGCTTGGGAGACGACGCCTGCGCCTTGCGTGCGCCCAGCTCGCTCTTGGCTGGCCAAGTGGGAAACATGGATGGATCGATGGGTAGGGGTAGCTCCTTAAAGTAGCCATGCTTAAGCGCCGCATCAGCTGTCAGTCTTTGTTTCGGATCATATGTGAGCAGGCCCTGCAGCAGTCCAAGTCCCGCATCTGATGTTTTGTCCTGGAAATGTTTACGCAGCTGTGACACCGGATAATCCGTGAACTGTGAGTTCTGGCTCAGCATATTTTTAACGGCCGGCAGCTCCGAGTACCCTGGCCAGATCTTTTCATTGGGTGTGCCGAGTTCCTATAAAAGGGAATACCAACAATTAATAACAAAAGCCTAAGTTGCTTAACTACATTCTCTTACCTTAAAGATGCGATTAAGCTCATCGATCTCAGATTTGCCCGGAAAGAGCGGCGCCATTAGTAAAAATTCGGCAAAAATGCAGCCTACAGACCACACGTCTATGGGCGTCGAGTATTCCGGTGAGCAGAGCAACAGCTCTGGCGCTCGATACCACAGCGTGACCACCAAGGAGGTATACTTCTTCAACGGCGAGCCGTATTCGCGTGCCAAGCCAAAATCACCCACCTTGAGTATGCCCTTGTGGGAGAGCAACAGATTGGAGGTCTTCAGGTCACGATGCAGTATCCAATTGTCGTGCAGATGGGCAACAGCGAGCAGCAGCTGTTGAGCCAGGCATTTCACCTCGCCCGGAAAGAAGCTCTGCTTGCGCTGCTTCATCGTCTCCATCAGAGATTTGAGATCGTGCTCCACATAGTCCATAACAATAAATATTTTGTCCATATTGGAACCAACGACAATCTCACGCACCGTCACAATATTCGGATGCTGGCCCTTTAGCAGCGTATTGATCTCCCGAAGCGATGTTATGGGAAAGCCTTCCTTCTCCTTTTCCATTTTCAGACGCTTCAAGGCGACTATTTCGTTGGTGCGTTTGTCCTTGGCGCGATAGACAACGCCGTAGGTGCCCTCCTCGATGCGATTGAGGCACTGGAACTCTTCTACCGAACGGCAGCCCTGCACGCCCGGATAATAATTGGGCAGCGGCACACCCTTGTCATCACATGGCGGCAAATCCTCAACAGGTGCTTTTGACAACTTCTCCGCTGTGTTGGTCTCACTGCTGTCCACCCCCTGCAGCTGCTGCTGCTGCTGTTGGGCCATGCCGCGCTCCTCGCTACGCGTGCTGCTGCTACGTGAGCGCTGCTGCTCCTCCCCGCTACTGATTGGCGATCGGGAACGGGATCGACTGCGACTGCTATGACTTCGACTGCTGTGACGACTCTTGCTGCTGGCTGCACTGCTGTGACTATGCGCAGAGCTCTTGGAGCTGGCGGACCGAGAGCGAGGTCTTTGCTTCGGCGATTTGTAAAGAGCGCCCACACTCAATGGACTATCTGGCAGTGGCACATCGTCATCATCGTCGGGTTGGGGGTTTTTTCTCTTGTTCTTCTTGTGTGGCTGCTGTTCGTAGCTGCTCTCAGCACTCTCTGCCGAGTCGCTGGCACTCTCCTCGCTGCCACTGTCCTCGTCTTCGTCATCCTCATCGGAGTCAGTTTCGTCGCTCTCTTCGGTGCCATCTTCGGCTGGCTTTTCTTGCCGCTTGTTTTCCTCACCCGACTGTTGCTTGCTTCGTTTTCGATGCTCGTAGTGCTCGTCTTCTAGTTTCATTTTTTGCTTGCGCTTGACAGGATTTAGTCCGGCAGTTACACTAGCTGCCACAGCGCTGGGACTGAGTGCATCGCTGTGCTCATTGCGTTCACGTAACAGTTGTTCACGACGCGCCTCCAGCTCCTCGCGTGCGATTTGCTTACGCTTGCGATTCTCACGCTCGGCTGCCAAGATTTTCTCTCGTCGTGCCAGCAGCTCTGGATCAGCAGAAACTGTGCGATGATGTGGCACAGGATCGGCGGCTTCCTCTACCTCGGCACGCCTTTGCTTGCTCCGATGGTGTGACTGATGCGGCACTGCTCCTGACTCGGGACTGTCCAGCAGCTCAATGACTTGACCGTGGCGCAGTTTATGACTGTGGCTGCTGTGCCGGGATTCTCGCTCCTTGCGGCGACTATGTGAATGTTGTTGCTCGTAGTTTTCCTCCATCTCATAGTCTTTAACGTATTTGTGCCGCTTGCTGAGCAGTCGTGAGCGCAGATCCTGTTCCAAGCTCTCAGCATCCTTCGGCTGCTCGTAGCTATGTTTACTGGAGCGACGCTGCGATGGCAACGGCGGCTGCTCCACCTCTACGTAATCGACATGCCGGCTGCTATGATAGTATTCGGCACGCGCCCCAGCACGGGATAAGCTCATTAATTGCTGTTGCTGGTGATGATGATGGTGGTGATGGACATAGCTCTGGGGAGGCGGCGGCAAGGGCAGCTGTTGCTGATATTGATAGGCATGGCTCAGATGGTGCTTGGCCCGCTCACTGCGATGCTGTTGATGGTGCTGATGATATCGTTGTTCCAAATCCTCACGAGCTCCGCGATATTCATAGCGCTCCCTCTCACGTTCCCGCTCTCGTTCACGTTCGCGCTCCCGCTCCTCAAGGCTGCTGCGCTCTTTGTGGCGCCGGTCCCGTGAATGCTTTTTCTTCTCCCGCCGCGAACTCGCAGCGTCTCTTCCCTGACTGCTGACAGCCTGTGGCGGTTGTATATAAAGGGCATCAGCGTCCTGGTCATCTTCGCCGCTAAAAGAGAAAAGACAGAATACATTTTACACAAACTTTGACGCCAATTGCATGAATTGTTGAATTTATCGTAGTTTTTCCCGAAAGTTTGCAACCAGTAACTGAATTGAAGAGGATGCCGCGAGGCGCGCTCTGACATTGTTTGCTGTTCTTGTCACTCAAGTTGTTGTCGATTGATTGACGTTGTTGCAGTGCTTTGCTAGTCGTTGATTACATTTTACGTTGCCCAGCTCAGCTTCAAGTCTCAAGGCCCCAATATTGGAAGAGCGCATTACTGCTTGAACATTAGGTGGAAATTGACAATCAAAGAAAAACAATAAACAACTTTCGGTGTAGTATATTAGCAAATAATACGAAGTTGTAGATGTGCATTCATTAGTTGTATATATTCATACAGTGGAATCCTTGAATAATACTCATATTATAAATCTTACCTACGAAACCTAAGGAATTGTTTAACAGTTATATTTTGAAACATCTTATTTAAAAGTTAAGGAATAAAGAGCAAGAAGTTCAAATACATAGAGCAGACATAAATATATATATATAAAGATATCTATTAATCGATATGAAGAATACTAATAATGATAATAATGGCTAATATATTGGCTACGGATAAAATTAAAATGCTTCAAGCACTGTTTAAATTCTTCAATACATCAGAGAAATTTCAGCTTGAAGAGATCACAGATTCATCAAGTTGGCTTAAGGAGTCAAACCTTTAAACCATTTACTATATCCGCCATGAGTTGGTAAAAAGTTAAAGAAAGTAATATTATTCATATTAAACATTGCATAATAATGAGTTATTCAAGATTCCACTGATTTATGTACTTACCTGTCCGGCCAACCCCATTTGAACATTGGCAATTGGTTTACAAACAATTCCTTTGGGGCATTGAGTTGAAATTCCGATGGGCTGTAAAATGTAAACTTACGACTGCAAACTCTGCTAGAAATATATTTATGTACTTTTTTTTTTGGAAATGCGTGGGACAAAAGACAAAGATTTAGAGATCTATATATGTATAAGAATGCGTATATAGATAACAGGACTTGGAAAGGCATTAGCATTGTTATTGAACAGAAAGTTGTATTCGATTTACCGCCAGACTTCAAGATCTTCACTCTCTCTTTCTCTCTCGTCTGTATTTGTGTCATTTAAAGGCATTTGCTTGAGTCATTTTATATTGAGTTTGAGAAGGTGGCCATATCCTGGGCCTGCTGTTCGCTGTGGACTTGGCATTTTACACACTTGAGCTGCTGGGCACACTTTAAATTTGAATTTCATATCTTGCGTTCAGCTTTTATAATTATTTGGTATTTTTTGTTTGTTTGTTTTTTTTTTTTTTTTTTTTTTTTTTTTTTTTTTTTTTTTTTTTTTT